TAATCCATCCATCCATCATCTTTAACACTTACACTGTGAGAGATCCTTAAGGGGGAAAATTATGCAGCTGGTTGGATTGGATGTGCTTCAGTGATGATACCATGTTGGTTTGAGCAGATGTGCACCTTCATATGTTTGAGAGTGACTGACTGAAACATTGAGCTTTTATGTAGTGAGCAATAGAAAACAACCTACTGTAAACAGACCCACTTTGATTCACAGTGCTGACTACTTCACCACAGTTACAACTTCTACATTGCTTAAGAATTTGCCTAGGTAATCTTAATAAAAGGACATGAAAGTATTTCTGTTATTTGATAAACAGCAAAAATGAATCAGTACTGTAACATTTCCCACCTCCGTTGGCTGCTTTTCACCATCAAAGAATGATTACTGCTGTCCTTTCCCCATTTTGAAATAAAACACACATCTAGACAAACAGTCCGCTCTTATCGCAGAATAACTAGCACATCACAAATACGGAGTGAGGGGTCATTGTCTGAGTGAAGACGTGCTTCAGAAGAAAACAAAACGTATAACTCAAGGCTTTCACTCTCCTCCCTGCTTTTCATTTCCTCCCTTTGACAAGTGCCTCTCATTCATCTTCCTGGTTATCAGATAAGACCCGGGGATCAGGGGTTGACATGTTGTGAAGGCGGTCGTCATGGCAACCGGGGCAGTGACTTCACTGAGTAGCCCCGATTACATCCTCTTGAGTTATAAAGGAGACTCGACATCTTTATAAGATCAAAAATTAGTATACATTGTTATCTTTAGTGTGACATAAAAACACAAAGAAATGACACACACCTATTTCTTAAAAGGAAACTGATCTTGGGTGACTACATGAAGGACAAATCAAGTTTTCTCTGTAGCTCAGTGACAGTAACAAAGCATTCGGAGCTGTACTGATGTCGTGTTCATTTTGTGGTAAAAGCACAGGTCAGCACTGAAAAGGGCTCAAGTATTTTTTAAATTCTCCAAAACCAAAATATGAAAAAGATTTTACAAAGTAGTGTTAATAGATAATAATATTATAATGTCTCATAAAGCATTGTATCTGGCCTTGCTATGATATCATGTATCGTAATACATGGAATCTCGCATTAATATGATGTATCATAGCATAGCGAATTGCATCATATCACATCACATCCAATCTTATTGTGTGGTTTCATTTCATATAGTCTTGTATCATAGCCTATATATTAGCCCTATTTATTACATAACATCAGACCTCATTGCAGTGCATTACATCTCATCTTATTGTAGTTGATCGTATCACATAATGCTAGGACTAACTCAATGACTGCAAACATACAACTCAACTTAATCTATGTATTCTTGACAGGAACCATCAGATGTTGTGGATATTAATTCCTCTCTTTGTTAATAAAGTTTGTCAGTCTTGCTCATCTTAAGACATTTTTTATTAGCTCATAAGGCTAATGTTAGCTTGATTAGCCAGCTTTCTGGAGCTGATTGAAGAAGATGTCATTACAGCAAGGGTACATTATGGCTGACCTCTTACAAAAAAAAGCTCCTCACATGGGAGCCACATAAGTTGGTAGAGTAGGTCCCCCATGTACAAAGGTTATATAGTCTTCCTCATACTGGTTGCAGGATGATTTTATGCACATCATGTCTTCTTTTTCTCACTCTTACTGCATTTATCGCCTCTCTCTGTCATGGGGAAAAAGCCTCAAACAATCTTTTAAAACGTCTCATCCATAAGGGAAATGGTGCTCTTGTGTCTCCTGATGTAGCACCACTGCTTTGTTTGCATAATAAACTTAGATAATAAATGTCTCCAGATGTTCTTTTTAAAGTACGGCTTTCTCTCCTCCCTCCTCCTCCTCTACCCTCTCCGTCCTCTCTAACAGAGACACACCTCAGGCCAACGACAGTGGAGCCAAGACGCCTCGGTCCAAAACTTCATCCCGCTTCCCCCGGCTGGGCCGCAACCGCAACCAGGAGGCTAGACCTGAACCCCAGAGTGGAGACCTTTAGCCCCAGAGCCTTTGAACTTATTACTGCTCAAAATGAAGGGGTCAGAACTACAGTGTTCCCGTGTCCGATCCTGGACTGAGACACGCGGTATCACAAAGCGTAAGGAGATGAAGGAGGTACAACAGACCTTCAAAGCCTTACAGATGAAAAAAAATCCTCTGTTGAGGAGAAGAGATGGATGCATCGAGATCACAGACATTTCTTGGAGATATGTAAATGTTTTTGTGCATTTTCCGGCTGAGTAAAGGATAAATGATTCCCCGAGGCTGCCTAACAATGAACCCAATCATACAGCACCTCTTACCTCACTGAGAGACAGGACTCTCTGTTCAGTGCACATAAACTAAGCCTGAGTCTATTATCTTAAACACAATGAGAAGACAAGGACATTTTTGTTTTTTTCTTTTCTTACTCTGCTCAATTTTTTTTAGTGAAAGTGTGTCTTGGTCACAGTGCCTACAGTGTTTTGTAGCTGCTTTCTTGCTCCAGGTTAGGAGGAGTTAGAGTCGAGTTTTCTCTTGGGGTATTAGCATTCTTACTCAGCTAATGTGTCAGCATTACGGTGCCATTACATTTTAGATGACAGTAATTTACAATCTCCGGCGTGGACCAACAGACAATGAGCATTCCTTAGTCATGCTTATCATTATAATGGCTCTAACAGATTATCTATTAACAGTGTATCATTCATCTCTTTGTCATCAGGGATGCAGCAGTTATTCAAAAACATCCTTTTTATTCATCGTGTTGTTCATAGAAACAAATAGGAGCAAAGATCTTCAGATAAAAACGATTATAGGGACCGTATGAAAATTAGTGGTGTCATAAAGGGAGCTGATTTAAGTCTTATTATTTCACTCTTTTGTATATTAAAAAAGGAAAAAAAATACAGGGCTTTAAAAAATTGGTACAAAAATTAATGAATTCTTGAACTTTCAAACCAAATGCTGATACAGAAAAAAAAAACACCTATGAAGAGGTCAGGCTGAATCTTTCACACCCAGAGTGTTTTTCCACGTATTCGTAGACAGAGCTTTGGAACAGATTGATTTCATGATAATTTTGGACAAGACAGGAAGGGACAGACTATTTGATCACTTCAGAGATGCGTAGGCTGTGTTTTGGCTGATTTACCTCCAGCAGTATCACAGGAAAAGGGGTCTTTGTGAAAGGTTGGCCAGCTGTACTTCTAAATGTAACGCTTAAAGATTGTTTAACTAATGTGTCTTAACGGGACTTCATGCGGCGTTATGTTGCAAATGAATGTTTTAATGATGACTAAACACTTGAAGAAAAAGCTGCTTGTTAGAGTGTAAGGAAAAGGCTGCGGAGCATCAAGTGTGGGTAAAACAGAAGCTCATGCATATGTATGGCTCACCCAAGAGTAGACACAGACGGCGCTCAAACGGGGAGCGATTGTGTTGGAAGGCTTCCGGAAAACTTGAATCAAAGGGTCGGCTCGGATAATGGTAAACACTGTTCTCCGCTCAGTGTGGGGGTCGGGGGATGGCGATCAAACATGCTTTGTCGGTTTTAATTAAGGTGTTTTTCTTGGAGGAAATTGACCCTCATGTATTCGGCCGCTGGTTAGCACTGTGCGGTGTTGTTGGGAGATCCTCACAGGGACTCTGTCAAAGGAGTTTTATCAGACTTCCCTGAAGCCTTTAACAGAGATTTACTCTGTCGGTGGTGAATATGTGGTGATAAATCATCGGTACAGGAAAGAAAACAGACACTTTTTGAAGAGATTAGTTCAAACATGAAAGTTTTGTTTCTTACAAATGCACTTGCTCCCTATCAAAAACATGCAGCGACTTCAACACGAATCTCTGTCATTTTTCTAAAATAAAGCCTACTCTTTGCTCTAACACATTACTACAGTCAAATTTGTGATGTTTAAAGTGTAGCACTGCCTTGTATTCATTTTAATAATACAACCAACGGTATCTGTCCTTTACTGTCCATAACAACATTGCCACACTGTCAGTTTAGTATAACAAGCAGCTTTTCATATGAAAGTCACTTTTACAGCAGTGGTCAGAAATGGGGGTCCAACGTCTCTGCACAAATTCTACACACGTACTCTTGTTTAAGTATGGACGTTATACACAGCTGAGATTTTTGACAACTTACTGCACCGTGGAGCATTGTCTTTTTGCTTAGGCCACCACTTTCATAGTTAAGTGGTCCACTGTTGACATTTTTTTGGTGCATTGCAATGGCCAAACAAAGGCAGGTGGGAAGCAGACCGCGAGTTACTAACTGTGGATGTAAACAATGCAGCGTTTAAAATATTCCATTCAATAAACTTTGCAAATGTTTTAAAAGAAAAAAAACACATGCATTCATCATATTCTGTAAATTGTTTAATGAATTTTTATGTATGTAAGAAAATTTCCACATGGCACCTTTAGGGCCTGTGTCCACTTACCGCATTTTTTTTTTTGAACTGGCAGCACCAATTTCAATACAAAACCGACGCAATTCACTGCCTTTAGTGGCCTTTAGAAAACACTCTCACAGTCAGATGTTCACTCCTATTTGAAAGCTATTGTGTCACAGCCTAGCTTATCACTTCCTCAGCACTGACCAATCAAAACAAACCACTTGGTTTTTTTAGGTCTATCCAGGGGCTCTATTTTCGTTCGCGCCGGTGAGGCGGCGGAGGGCGGCGAGCCCCGCGCAGTTGTATTTTCGTCTGGCGGAGCCCAGCGTAAGGCCAATTTGGTATTTTCGTGGCATGAGCCGCACGGAGGCGAGCCGAGATCCGCCAAGCTGGGCGTGGTGGTGTGGCAGGGGGAGGTGTCGACAGAATCAGCTGGCGCAGTGACATTTTCGTGCTCGCCAACGGCGTGTAAAGTGCGCTGAAAGCTCGCCGATTCAAACCTGGTCAGCTTTCAGCGCAAGGCGGAACGCAGCTGGTCTAGTAGTATTTTGGTAGACCGGCGGCGTATCGACATACGTCACTGATGCCTCACCGGCAGGTTTCCACAGTGTCAGGCACATTTCAGTGCAATAAATAATCATCATCAACTATTAATCTGAGTCAGCACATATATTTAGATCTATATCGATATATTCTGATCTATATGTGATCTGATGAGCGCGTTTGGCACGCGTTTGGACACACAACCTGACCGAATCAACACAGCTGAAACCGCATAAAATTAAATTAAATATCTAGTAAATAAACACACATGATGAAGTTAACTAGATATGTAATTCATCTCTTCCTTTTCTTTCTTCCTCTTCCTCTTATTTCTCGCACAGCTCGACCTGGACACGCCTCCGTGTCCTCTGTCCGTCTTGCTGCTGCTGCAGCTGAACAGATGATTTGTTTCAGTGCTCAGATGCGTTATCTACTTTAAGCCGACATACAGATATTATAATATTCAGTTTTGTGAGCCAAATTTATTTTATATGCCAACATCTATGAAAGAAAGAGCCAGGCCACGGAGCGCGATGCGTCATTTACACACAGATGGTTCAGATTTTAATGCCATTTTTGGAGTTTATGTTGTGATCTGTGCGCTAAACCCACCTTTGTTACGTGAGGTTTGAATATGAGCAACTTTATGTGAGTGTCTTTATTTGTGGAAAAGGGTGTTTGTCTTACCAGTGGGTCCAACATTACGCACACTAAATCCATCTGTGCTCATATGAGAGAGTGTGGAGGACACTTGTTGAGGAGCTGCCCTCTGTCGCCATCTTGTGGCATTACTGTCTTAAGACATCTCTTGATCTCTTTGACTACTTCATGAAAATAGTAATACGCCTCGCCTGTGGCGGATTTAAAGGCAAGGAGAGGAGCCTATGTGATTGGTGAAAACAGGTCTCGGCTGTGTTAAACCGACTTCACGCCCTTTCTCCTCCCCGTTACGACTTATGGTGCTGGGAGGAGCTGAGTTAGGGAGGGGGGATACTTACGCCGGGCTGCGCGGCTCACCAAAATACCAAAATGTGCTTGGGAACGCCTTGTCAGCGCGGCGGATCTGACTGACGCTGCACTTGCGGCACGTCTCCGGCGAGGCACCAAAATAGAGCCCCAAGTCTACATCTGCTGCTAATGCTAATGCTAATGCTATGACACTCCGACTATCATTTGATTTGGTGTTTTCTCAGTAAAATGCCGTTTGATGGAAACAACTGAAGCTTATAGAGCATTTGAAAACAGACTCAACATGCACTAATACAGTAAGTGGAAGTGCCACAGGTTGTCCTTCAAGACCCAGCAACAGTAAGTGCTGATGAGACGCGCTCTGAATCTGAGACCATAGGCGCTGCCAGCATAAAAATGTGGCAGTGATGGACACATGCCCTTAAATTCTGTCCCAGCTAACTTAAAAAGTTTCTGATCCGCTCGATTACTTATTTTAATCTCATGAACCAGGAATTTTCGCATCATGAGAAGTAAGAAAAAGACATTAGTAATGCACCAGTGCAGCTACTTCCTGATGAACTTGCAGGTTCACTCTTCTGTTTAGTGATGTAGATGTTTTCATGATGTGATCACAAACATCACTTTTCTTTCAAATGGCTCCATTTCCACCTCTCAGAACCTTCACAACACTGGATGAGTAAAACGTTTCTGTACTTTGAGGCCGGGAATCGAAGTGATGACAAGCAAAGAAAGTGGATTCAGTTTATTGAGACACTGCCAAAGTGTTCCTGCAATATGCCATGTCTGTGTTAGAGTACTTTTCTGTTCTTGCCTTAGTAAGCAGTCAGGTTTTATCAATCAGTGTCAGAGCAGAGAGAGGCTTAACAATAAACTCAGTGTGTACAGTTCAGTGCTTACGCTCTGGTGTCAGCGATGTCTTTATTAACAAATCCACTGTCACAACGTTCTGCTCTTAAAACAAGCCTGTCTATGTGAATATATGTAAGCAGGGCTCAAAGAGGAAAGAGGGTCCTCACATGGGAGACTTTTAGACAAAAAAAATCTCAGTCTTGGTAGTTCTCGAAGCATCTTTGGGAATTCATTTAAAATTTGAAAACATGAAAATAAGTCTATGTGAAATATGTGTTCACTTTAGACAGCTGCCTGTCTGCCCATCTGTCCATGCAGCTATATTTACAACACCATCTTCTACCATGATGAATATCCACCTGTTTTTTCAGCTGTCAACCTTCTATGATGCCTGCAACACTTTGCAGTAAGTGTGTGGCTGCAAGTAAGTATGAGAGAGAGCAACCACTTAAGCTGTCCATCTAAATCTGAAATTAAAAACAAGGTGCATGTGCACACATGGAGGAAAGGAAATGTTTCCGTGAATGCCCTCATCTAATGGCCTTCACTGTTTAGTTACACAGCCAATCACATGACCCATAATGTCCCCCACAACCCAAACATGGTGTTTACTGGTGTTTCGTCCAGATAGGTCGAACTTTGGGTGACTCTTTAGTTACTGCACCACCTCCATGCTCGCTCCTCACATTCCTATACGTATTAGAGGACAATAAAGGGGGGGGGGTTCAACTGTATGCCCTACCTCCCGTATTTAAGCCCTTTTGATCAAATTGTCTTCAGTCAAAACATTAAAGCACCCCTGTACATAGACAACAATGCTTTCATTCATGTACCCTATGCCTAAAACCAGCTCTGCGTGCTAATGTATATTAATGCATTCATGCATGTGCTGGCCCATCCAACACATGTGTGTGTGTGTGTGTGTACAGTGTGATTTATATACAGAGAATAGATATGTGCGTAAGTCACAATAAACACTCCAGTGCTCACATTATATTCTGCTAATAGGCTGTATGAATAGATGAACAGTTTCTGTGAATTCCATCTTACGTGTGTCTGTGGCTCCCTGTGCATCTGTTTTGTTTATCGAATGGTTATTTAACCTCTGCAGCTCTGCTGAGCAGCCTCCCAGCTTCATTCAAACCATCCAGCCATTTTGGAAAGGACCGTGTTTTTTCCCTGCTAGGTAATCCGTATGGGCTTGACTGACAGAAGAATGGTGAGGATGTAGAAAATGCTCATTGTCCATTGACCAGGAAATTGGTACCAGGCCCATTTAGGATGTGGATGGTTGCTTTTGGCAGTGATAGACAATACACAAACATACGCAAACAACTAGCTGAATGCAAAGCCAAGTGCTCAACACAGCTCCTGCTATCGTGCTGTTGTTTTTGCAGAATGGAAGAATAGCCTGGCTTAGCTTTAATATTGAGAAAACAGCCAGAAAAGTTCAACCAACATTATGCCATCAAATAATGAGTGTGTACTTCACCTGCATAAAACTTTGAAACTAATGCAAAACACCAACAAAATCGGCAGGAGAAAACTTCCTTGTGCAAAGTTCTACCCCCAAACTGAACTTGAACTGTGTAGACTAAGAGAAGAGGTATTTCAAAGCTAGTCTATGGTGACTATGACTGTCAAATGGTGTAATGTAACTGAGCAGAACGCCATTTGACAGTCATAAGCATGATGGAGGCAACAGCAGTAGGAGCTGTTTCTCAGGACTGGAGAAAAAAACTCAAGAATGCCAAGGACGTCTGTTTGCTGTAAGTGAATCTATGTTTTACATTTTAAAAAAGGGATGTATGAGTTTAGTTGACTATATAATTAACATCATATTTCCTTTTCATTCTTTGCCAGACACATGGATTATTAGTATTTTCATTACTGGTGGTCTTGAATGTCAGTCATTTGTAGTGTCTCAGCTTTGGCTCAGCTACCAGCCTGAGCTGTGGCTCAGGGTGGTGGTACCCGCCGTAATGCTCTAATGCTCTGCTGCTTAAATGGTAATTAACACGGGCCACACTTGGCATCTCAAAGAACTGCTTGGTTTATGATCTGAAAAATGGAGAAAAAGCTGAATTAACCTTGTTTTTTTTGACATTTTGAAAATAAGTTGTGCCATTTACATCAGCACAACTATCATACTTGTCAGTGTATAAAAAGCAAAGAAAGGTGTTATATTATACTATGGTATTGTACCAGAAGATGGCACTTAAACAGCCTCTTCAAAGAAGACATACTGAGTGACATCCACTTTTAAAGGGGAGTTTTTTAAGCTAATCCATACTTTAATGTCACAATGTTGAATGTCCATACTTTACCTCAGGAAAGTTCTATGACATGACTTACAAAGATGGCGGCTAATCCTCACACACATTTTCCGACCTTACCAGACAGTTTGTTTCAAGATGAAGCCACCTGACGAGACAGTGATTAAGGATGAGTCTGAACAGCAGCTCTGTCAGAGTCACCCACCTAATCTTTGGAAAATCTGTTCCTCTACCCGGCTTTTCCTCCACTCATCACTTTGTTGATTCTGTTTGGCTGATTGTGGATTCACCAGGTTGTGTGATCAGCATACAGAAGGTGTGCAGGAGCTTTTTCTTGTCATGGATTAAGTTAAAAGCGATGGAAGTCTTGATGCTGGAACATAATTAATCCTTTTCACCGAAAGAAGCTCCCCAAAAATATACTGGTGCATTTTATATTTTGGATTTTACAGTAAATAATGCTCAGTTTTGACAGTTTTCTCAGTTTGTCCTCTGACCCTCACTTGATTGTGTCCCACTCTGATGCTTTTTTTGTTTGTTTGTTTGTTTGTTTGTTTTTACTATTTAAAGTGTTCTCAGTGGTCTGTAAATTGTGATTATGAAGTTTTAAGCCAAAATCACATTACCTGTCATTTTCAAGGGCTTTTCTTCTGCAGAGCTCTAGTAGCTCATTAGCAATTTGCCTATGAGTTGTGGGTGGAAACAGCGCTGCACTGCACACTCCTCTTCATGCTAGCTTGTAGCCTAACATTGCCGGTGTTGTAGAAGTGGCAGGTAACATAAGAGCTACTCAGCTCTCGGACACTTATGTCTTTAGGGACATGATGAAAGTTAATATCTTTCTTACGAGCATTGCAATCCCCTAATGCACATGCTCGTCCGCTCTACTTCTCCGAGTCTGGCCTGTATAGTAGGGCTCCTGGGGCGGAGCTTGGATTTGTGATGTAGGAAATCCCACTGTGTCTGAGCCTGCTGTTTGGGTCTGCCAGAGATTCCCAGCAATTTGAATGCAGAAATACTCAAAAATGCTTTTACTAAATTTATTTACTTACTTTTCTCATGATAGGTCTTGTGGCATCAGAAAAATGCCATATGAACATGGAAACAACAAGAAAAACACTAGATACGTAAGGCGTGACATGTGCAAATAGCCAAAATGGGCCAAAAACAGCGGAATAACTCTTTAAACGTGTGTCTGAGAAAAAAGTCCAAGCACGCAAAATCAAAGATCTCATGAAGATACACATGCCTGTAAAATTTTGGGCAGATCGGAAAAAGTCGACGTTAATGGTACTCTGCAGGGGGCACTAGCAAGCCATCTTCCATCGCTTTTTTTGGGTCACATTGCGGTTTTTGCTGGGCCCGACCTGCCTGCAAATTTTGGTCAATTTTCGAGGTCATTCAGAGGGTCAAATTAGCGTTTTCAGAGGCAGTAAAATAATAATAATAATAGAGAACCCCTTGGGTTTCAATAGGGCTTCTGCCATGGCTTTGCTGCCGGCTCAGATCCTTACGATTTTCATCGGGTGGGTCTTTAGCTGATGTATGAAAAAAAAAAATCTGAATATTTAATCAGGATTGCCACAGAGCCTCTTTTTCCCTTTTCTTTATTTATCAAACAACAAGAATTAAGCAGCTTGTAAGCAAACAAAAGCTGTCTCCTCCAGAGGTAATTGATGTTGTACAAAGCAGTAAAATTCTGAATAAACATGCCATGTTTCACTCTCTTATCCCTCCTCCTTTTGTCCCACTCCTCTGCCTCTCCTTGAAGATATGGAGGTCCCTCTCGGCTTATTTTACAGGCCTGTATGTAATTGCAGAGCTCTTACCTTTATGTGAGCAACATCAAGCGGACAGGGACCCTGGTTTAAACAAGGTCAGTGCATAAGCAGCACTCCTATCTCCTCCACACACAATGCAGGCTCTGCATCAGGACGCAGACTCTGATGTCTCAGCACCCTATAGACAGTGAGTCCTTCAGGACGGGGCTTCCTAATAGAAGCAGAGATTAGCAGATGTTCCAGAGGAGACCCAATCAACTCTGCTGAGCTGCATTGAACCTGAGACTTTGTTGCTTTTGATTGCAGGAGCATTTACTTTCTCTCTGTAAATACTTTTCTGTTCTCCTAAACTTTTGGATTTGGCCCATCAAACGGCTGTAAAAGCAGACTGTGCAGGGACTGAATGTCTGCTCGGGGGTCTTTAAGGGAGTAAATGATTGAGGCAGACAGATGTCACAGAGGAGGGACTGTGATACTTTAGAAAACTGAGGGAAATCTTTGGTATGGTTGCTTATATGCTCAGGATTCAACAGTTAACATCCTATTACCCTATCCAACCACTGTTTCAAACAGCTGTTGTAGTATAAAGGAGGACCAAACATGGCAATGGAAGAAAGTTTTTATTTATTAGAAAAAAGGCTGGTCTGCAATTTAGTTCAACTATATTACCACAATCTTCCATTTCCCATACCCCTACCTTCAAACTACAATCACACTGAGAGTTTAGAAATGAAAAATAACTCTAGATGTGACAATGAGAATAAAAATGACAACCCAAGGACTTCATGCTTCAAATCCAGATGAAGAGTTTGGCTACCTTGAGGCATGTATCTCACACTGAAGGACACATAAAGAGCAGGCTAGCCATTCAAATGAATGAGCACAAAAGTGCTGTTTAACAAGAACTCAGCAAGTTCAAGGTATTTTGTATCAGCACTAAGTTGTCGATATTGTACGACTTTCTCAGTTATTTGGTTTTTATTTTCACTGCTGCATAAGTATGGCATGAAAATAAAGGCATTTTAACTGTTCAAAAGAGGTCGACTTAAAGGTGGGGTAGGCTTAATCTGAGGAAGTGCCGGTTTTTGGGAGAAATCTTGAATGTAAACACTACCCCTCCCAACCAATTTTCCCCTCAGCTCCTCCTCTTCCCTCCCTCTCTGCTCCAGCAAGCCCCGCCCACAAACATACACTCCTGCTCGCTCATATCGTTCATTCTACCTCTGTTTTAAGCTCCCTTATTCCGCCAGAGTCTCCAGTATTTACTTCTTTTTATTGCTTGTGTTTTCTGTACTTTCTGGTTGGTTTCTACTGTCCGATGTTGTAGCACGCTAACTTTGTTTGAGCTTGTGAAAGTTATTGAAGGACATGGAGCGTGCCTCACAACAGGAGGGAGCAGCATCTATCTTACAATCAGTAAGGTTGGAGGAGGTGGAGAACGGCTTTGTTTACAGTCAGAAACGCCATTAAAAATGCCACACTGTACCGCGAGTCAAGCAAAAATTTTAGAGGACAGGGAAGGTGTGTAATTTCTGATCAAATCAAAACAAATGAGCTATAAAACAACCTCATAACACTCATGAAGTGGCCTTAATAACAGAGAGACATACTTAAGAAAACCACGGTGATGGACCAGATTTGGAGGTTGTTGAATTCTGCAGAAACAGGCTTTTTATTATGGGCTCTAATGAGGGTGGCTTAGTTTAAAGAGCAAGCCCCCGGTGGACATTTTAGGAACTGTAGTTTTTTGCACTTCTTTTTCCAATGCAGTAGGTTTCTGTGCAGCTGGATTTTGGGGAATTGAGGTACATATCCGTTGGAGTTGAATAAAACAAACTAACTTAAAAAAAAGGAAAATAAAAAAATGAGGGAAAAATCAGGAAGGAAAATCTGACTCTGTTTTGGGACAATAAAGACAGTTTAAATTTTTCTTGTTCTGCTCTTTTGTCTTTAAATAAGTCTTTTTGTTGTCTGTCCTTTCTTTTATCTTCTTTTTTTATTTTACCCTGACCCTCACCTATCTGCAGGTTACCCCTTTCATCTATTAGTTCTGCCTCGCTCTGATCTTCTCTAGCTTCTCTCATCTTCAAATCATCCCTCCTCTTTCTTCTCTCCCGCTCTCCCTCCATCTCTCCGGGACTCGGCCTGCCTGGCATGTTGTATTTGCTCAGCCCGTCACTAGCTGCCTCTGTTTATTACATATTCAGTGCTTAGACAGAGGAGACAGAGAGGGCCTGCCCTTTGGAGGATTTTCCTCCCAACTCTCCTGCTGCTGTCTGTCGCTGAATGTTAAGCCGCCACCTCACTGGAAAATTGATTGTTTTGGGTTGTTTTTGTCCTTTCATTTATTTCAATTTATTCAGTATCGAGCGTATACACCTGCCAGTTGTGTCAAACAAAGTTCACATGACCTGTAATTACATTAGGCAGAGGGGGATCATGGAAATGGATAACCTCAGACTCAGAACCGAGGATATTTCTACGACTTCTTATCTGAATTAAATCCCTCATTAAGCTGCAATGGATTATGTTAATTAATAAACGATCAGTTCAGGGAACATGGGAAATAAACAATAAACATTATCCTTGAGCTGCTAATAAAGTTCTTGTGTATCAAGTGACATCCATCACTGTTGACTCAGACCTAATTAGATAACAGATTTGCTGATTCCAACCGCTGCAGCACAGATAAGAAGCTAACCAGCATGCTTAGCATATTCAGTTTAATCGAAATTGTGTTGTATTTAAACAGCTATGTTGGACTCTCCAAACTGTCCACCCTGAAAGTCTTAAATCTTTGGTTCATCCTCTCTTCAGGATTTGTTTCCTCTAACTGCAGGCTGCCTTCCCCTTTACAATGAGAAACCGCATCCTGAAGTGTGCTCTGCCTGCTCCTCAAAGCTATCACAGGCTTTCACAATAGCCCGCGGCGCTCTTTTCATCAACCCACAAGCCTGATCTGAACACCTCCGAGGAGCTGCTTAAACCGCAGCAGGGGGAGGAAGAGCGAGGTGAGAGGAGGTGAGGTGCAGCTGTGAGGAGACGATGGTAGGGACTCACGGAGGAGTCTTGGGACTTGGTTAAACTCAGGAGAAAAATCTCTACTCGACTGTCACTTCATTTACTCCACAACGGTGTGAGGAAATACCAAGAATTAGCCATTGCAGGAGAGTAACCAAAATTATAAACACTAGAACTAGCGAGTTAAGAAGCCAGTTAAAGTGATGCATGCTGCTGGTTTTTGAGCCAGTACTGGTCACTGATAAAAACCTGCAGCTGAAGGTTGAAAAAGAAAAGATTAATTATACATTTTTAACAACTTTGTATCCTCAAAGGTGTATTTTTTGCATACCTGAGGGTCAGACGGGTGAGCAAATATGTGTTAGTTAGTATCCTCTAGTTCCAGTTGAAATGACAATGGTTAACTCACAAAACCAGTTAAAACCCTTAAATTGTATTTACATATTTTTTTAATTGTATTTTACATATATTTTTTCTTTGACTGTGAATGGGAGTATTTTTCAACTTTACAGGTGATCTGTAAAAACAGTTGTGTTCAAATTTGAGTTTTTTCTCCTTTGAAAATGATTTTGGCACATGTTTTGGAAATGACACTCATGTTCTCTTCCCCTGAAACAGTGATTTTAAATACAGCAGTGATGCCATTTCTCATCAGCTTGTTCGTGCTGCGTTTGTTGGAGGCGGCTATGGCTCGGTGGTCGAGTAAGTCACCTCTCTATCCAAAGGTCTCACTGTCCACATGCCAGAGTGCCTTTGGCCAAGACACTCGACCCCAAAACTGCCCCTGTTGGCTGAACCCAGCTCGGAGTGAATTGGTTGAGGTAATACTGATGGGTGCTTTACACAGCAGCCTCTCCCATCAGTGTGTGAATGTGGTGTGAATGGGTAAATGTGACATGTAATGTAAAACAGCACTCTGAGTGCTCAAAAGACCAGAGAAAGTGCTGGTTAAGCCCATTTACTACTTACGATTTGTTCTGCTATACTCTGCATGTAATGGTGAATCACATCACCTCCTGTACTATAATGTGTAAGCTTGATAAGTCAATGCAAGCTACTTTATGTAAAATTGTAATAATGATATGAATTTTCCATCGTTCACTGATAATTGATCTGGATCGGGACATTTGTAGTGCATCCCTAACTGATTAGCCTATACTTTTTAACCAGCTGCAGTTGTAATGTAGTTTTAGTTCACACTGGGCAGAATAGGATAAAACTCTTTCAGTGTGAATGAGAAGAGCTAAAAAAGACAGCTAAACTGGGTGGGGTGTTGCTTGGACTTGATCAGGATGTGTCTCTGCTGAGGTGTTATTAAAGCCCAGGATGCTCTGAGAGGGTCCTTCAGCTCATCTGTATTCTGGGTAAGGGGTTTCTCATTTTCTTCTTGATAAATATCCCACAAATCCTCAGGTCAGACTAATTAACCAGCCAATTGAACACAGTAATGTTATGATCAGCACCATAGACTGTATATACTATGGACAACTTGGTTCTGCCTTCTGCCAGTATACAGATCTGAAGCCAAAAGCTCTTTGTATTTCCGTTTTTTTTTCTCTACTTCCTGAAACCAATATTGCGCAGTAGTGTTGTACGCATTTGGTGGGAGAGTCGCTGTGATAACGCTCGACTCAAACAACGTATCCCCCAGGTGAGCTACGCGATTTTAGTACGCCCAGAGGCAGTATCAAGTGTCAATCATAGAAACTATGAACCCACTAATAACTTTTAAAAACTGAGCTGCACAGAAAAAAGAGGAATTGAGCACAAACCAGTCTTACAGTAACTACATGTCAACATCACAAGCAATTAATTTCTAAAGTTTGTCCACAGCTCCATAGGGATTGCTGGAGGAGGCTGGATTTATGACCTATACTGCAGCCCGTCACCAGAGGACGCTGTTCTCGTGGTGGCTTCACCCAGTGAGGAGGCAGACAGTGTCCATTCTATAAACAGTCTATGGGTCAGACAAGTTAGCCAGCCAACTGAACACAGTAATGTTATCATCAACACCTGCCCACAGTGCCAAAACTCCTACCTAATAATTTGCCAAGTCTTTTTGAAAAAGCAAACTAGCATCTTTGTAAAACGTTAAATTATTACTGTTAACACCATGCTGAGAGGGTCAATCCTTCTCCTCAGTGACTACAAGAGACTCCTAGACCTTGATTTCCAGATGAAATACATAAATGACGTTCTCCTGAAAAGAGGACCACTGAACAACAGTCTGGCTTTCTTTCTCCTCAGCTCCACATGTAAGATGCTTCTGGTTCAGAGGTGGTTTGATACTGGGAGAGTGACAATTTTGGACCTTGAGTTTTAGACCGCTGGTTTAGGCTCAGTCCACTCCTTGTGAAGCTCTTCAGAGTTCTTGAATTAACGTCTCTTAACAATCCCCTCAGTCCCTGTTGCTTGTGCACCTTTTCTAACCGCACCTTTAAGGCTAAAGATATGCGGCGAGTCTATTTTTGCTGCTCAACGCTTCCAATGGGCGTCAATCCAAACGGAGAAGATCGTTCCAGACAGGAAGTCAAGCATGAAAACCGTGCATATCATCCGGTATTTCAAAATAAAACACCATATGCGGACAATCCGATGGTCAGTCCCTGATCCATGTGGACCCCAACAGGACTTTTAACTGCTAACTGTCTGAAGGTAACAGCACAGCATAGAGGAACATAGTTTACTTTATTAAACATGAGTAAACCTGCAAAAACAGAAACTGTGAAATCACGTTGCTTTTTCACATATAGTAAGGCTCAACAGTCACTAAATTATGTCCATTTAGCAGGAAATAGACCACAGAAAGGCAAAACAACCTGTTGTGAGTATGTTGTTTCCTCTATACTGAGCCCAGCTGACCAGGGCTGCACTACGCTGCTGCCACGCTCCAAATACGCATCCTGTATGCGATACCCAATGATGCTCTATGGAGCAAATATGGAACGCACTCAATATGGATCCAGTATGTTTTAGGCTTTACATGTTTTTGTGGAGTCATCTGTTCTGTTCAGTCTAGTTTTGTGTGCAGCTCTCCTCGTGTAGGGGCCAAAGAGTCGTGTTAAATAGTTCATTTAATGAGGTTCTCCGGGCCTGGCAGCAGCACAAGTGGCCACTGGGAACCTGCTCACTTCCAGGGATTGACTCTGATGCTCCTACCTTCATTATAGAAGCTCACCACCGGGCAGCAAACCAAGACACTGTATCATGAAACAGTCACAGATTATCACCGTCACACTTTGACAGCAGAACAACAGCTCAGGAGGTTCACAACACCTGAGCTGTTTCCCAACAACATGTGTTTCTACACCCAAGTGCCTCAGTGACCTTGAGGATGACCTGAGATCAGAATCTGAGTCACACCTCCATTCGAGGTTTTCTTTACCTGCTTAATCCCCTCGAGGGTTACAGGAGGCTGCAGGCAATCCCGGCATCTTTTGTGAGAAGGGCGGGTGATTCTCCAACACACTCACAGCTTCACCTGAGGGTCTTACTGCTTCATTTTCAGTGCTGAACTCGGGTTGGACTCCTTCTCTTGAGACTTGCGAGGACACAAAGTGGTAAAATCACTCTTGACATACTTCATACCTCAGGAAAATTTGGCAAGATTGTCTTCATTTGCATCAAAAATTAGTCTCATTATCTTGTACCCTGTAGCCTGAGAGTTTCCTCAGGTCCACTGATAGTCACCTCAAATGCCTGTTCCATTCTTCCATCCCTCTTCAAACTTGTAATTTCAGGACTCAATTTCTCTAATCAGACTTCATCAATAACGGAGGCTGAGACACATCCGGCCTGTGATTGTAAGTCCTCTTTCATGCATTGAGGAAAAGCAGGCATGAAGGGAAAATGGGAGTGTAATAAGACACTTAATCACTTTGAGTGTTTTACTCTGAAAAATGAAGATCTTTCATAAAAGCGAGGGATGGAGGCAGAGAGAGGAAGACTGTGATTCTGCACCAGAAAAGAGTGACGTTTTTGTCCCTCACCTCCCTTCCTCTCCTTTTTTTATTTGACTTGCTCCCATTTTTCGGCTTCAACGTGACATTTTTAGGATTTAGCTCTGAGGCAGAAATCACTGATCCTGCACAGTGACCCCTGTCATTTCACCGTGGCTCCTCTCTTTTCTCTTTTTACTACCGGAGCACACAGAACGAAAGCAAAAAAGGAGGGCAAAGAGAAGTTAGGAGGGCAAGGACAGACAGGCAGATGGGGGAGAAGATGACAAATGTTGAGTGCAGGAAGAGGGGAAAGGAGAAGGAGTTAAAGGTTGTGAGGAGGGGTAGGAAATAAGTAGAGAAAAAGGGAAGAAATAAATGGGCAGAGAGGAAGAGAGCTGTGAGAAAAAGGAAGAAAATTGAGAAAGAGAAAGAGGAGAAGGGACACAGAAGCCTTTCTCCACTTTAGGAATGGAAATGAAGCATAAAGAGGAGACAGGATTCAGAGACACTGTGGTTGAACACGCCACAGCAGATTCATCTGTTGTGCGGCGAACGAAGGTCAGCCTCATTTGTTCTCCACGGAGACGAGGGGGGTCCTTCATGTGGGAAATGACAGAGACAAAATGGACGAGGGATGAGTGTGTCAGTGATGGGAAACATGAGAGTTGATTCCATCTGTCGGGTCCTGTCACACACACACACATGAGCACACGTACACACACACACAGAATACATTTGACTGTCAATCAGGTACTTCTCATGAATGTGTAACAGAGTTTCCCGCGTGGAGCTGAATATGAATGAAATTTAGAAAGAAGGCTGTCAAAGGTAAAAGAAAAATAAATGACACAGTTTGATGACATTTGGTGAAGGCTTTTCCCTCCTGATTGTCCTGAAGGCAACTTTTGTATGTTTTGGTCTTCTAATGAATGCAAGAACTTTTTAAAATTGGAATAATTCAGGACGTAAAATTCACAGCGGGAAAAAATCAACTCGCTTCAAAAAAAGTGCAAAATTAACTTTCTAAACAAAGTTTGTTTCTGGAGACCACCCAACCCTTCTAAATCCTACTCTAGCTAGATCGCTAAGCTTCTTTTCTTTTTTCTGCAAATATCAGTGATGTGTCCTGAAAAAAGTGAGAAAAAAGTTTAACCCCTCTGTTTATCAGTTCTAAAGAACTCTGTGCCCTTAAAATTACACTTACTGTGCAATTGTGATATAAAAGACCTCAATGTGGCTGTGTGATTTTTGATAGTGCTTTAATCAAGTTTCCAAACTTAGAGTCTGAGTCTTGATTTTTTAGATCATCCCTGATCACTCCTCCATTGTTTTTTATGCATCAAACATGCTCTTTTGTTCGGTTCACGTTTGCTGTTAAAATCATAAAAGTAAAGCCTTTCTGGGCACACCTGCAGGGACTATTACAAAACACAAGTGAAAACACGCCAGCCCATGTTTGAATTGCTCAAAATTATTAGGACCTAGTACAAAATAATAAAATTCATTGAACAACAGCAAGTCTGAGTCATCTCCAGCTCTGATATCAACTGAAATGTTTTAGCTTGTTGTTGATTCAAACTAGACTAAAACTATAATAAGCATTTGTGAGCACCAGCTTTAGGCATCAAAAGTTACGATATAAAACTCGTTAATATTGTCTCTAATGGACTTGTTTTGGTTCTGGATATCATTAAAAAAAGCATCAGTATGAATTTCAGTCTATCTGATCAATACATAAAAAACTCCTGTAGGAGTTTTAAAGACGAAGCCTAAATAAAAAAAGCTGCCAAAACTGACAATTCTCTCTGGATACTGTCAGTACTTGAGGATC